AATCCACTAGTAAATCCACTAGTAAATCCACTAGTAAATCCACTAGTAAATCCACTAGTAAATCCACTAGTAAATCCACTAGTAAATCCACTAGTTGACCCATGTGGTTTAGTTTGAAACTCGCTGCTCCTGCAAAGGAACCGCTGGTTACGTGGCTGCTAGAACAGCCCTTGCCAGGCAGCAGCAACCTGCGAACGGGGGGGTATTTTTAACGGTAAAAAGCAGGTAATTAGGCAACTAATCCATAGCGATTTTATCCCCCGAGCCTGTTCTCCGTGCGCACGGGGGAGTTGCTGTTTCCCCTAAAGAACCCAATTCTCATGCCCACCCTGCCCTAACACCTTCCCGACGATGTGTTTTAGCATTATAACTGGGAAAAAAAACCCTAAAAATACAATATTGAGCGTGCAAAAGGTAGGCTGGTGTAACGTGGCTCTGGATTTAACGCTCTGCTCCTGTCTGAGAGCGCTTTCCAGAGCAGCCTCGAGCTGTTCCTCTGCTTTGTGAAGTGAGAAACGGTCTTGTTGTGTGCTTTGCAGCCTGCCTGCGGCCCCCCGCGCCGGGAACGCGCCGGGATGAAGCCCGGGAGCTGCGAGACGCTGCCGCCCGGCGCGTGGAGCCCGGCGGGCGCCCGCTGCGCCTTCCCCTGCAGGGAGTGCGAGAGGTAGCCCTGCAATCCTCAAGAGACAATAATCATTGTTAACGATTCCCGTAATTTGGGGGGTTGCACCCGCCGCGCTCGGTGGCCCCCGCCTAAAGGCGAAGGCGTCGGCACAAAGGGAGCGGCTTTTCCCTCTTTCTTCCCCGATTCCCAGGGTCTTCGACAAGATCAAGAGCCGCAACGCGCACATGAAGCGCCACCGCCTGCAGGAGCAGCTGGAGCCTCCCAAGTGGCCCCCGAACCCTCGGGAAGCCGAAGCGGAGCCGGGCGAGACGCGGACGGTCCCCCCCGAGCAGCAGCCAGGTTAGCGCTTCCCGCCGGGAAAATCGCCAGCGTTCCCAGCGCCCGGGCGCTTGCCGGGCTCCGAAGAGGTAGACACAAAACCCCCCCAAATCCCAGGAAAATCGCCAGCGTTCCCAGCGCCCGGGTGCTTGCCGGGCTCCGAAGAGGGGCAGGTAGACACAAAACCCCCCCAAATCCCAGCTTTTCCTAGCACGGGGAAGCTGCGGAGAGTATGGAGTGCCCACAGGGACTTGTGGGGGGAAAAAAAGGGTTGTTTTTCTTTATTTTTTAATTTTTTTTGGTTTTTTAAATGCAGAATTATTCCAAAGCTGATTGGGATTTTCTCAGCGTTCAGCACCGCGTGGTCGGCGTCCAGCTCGCACCGAAGGGTCCCCGCTTACATGAGCCCTGCGAGGACGTGCGTGTGGGAAAGGAGGTGGGCATGCCTGGCATTAAATTACAATTATGCATGGGTGAAAGTCAAAAAAAAAATGCAGTTAATGACTGCAAATCCTCCCCGCTCTTTACCTCTGCTTTTGGTTAATTCAAGAGGTCCGCTCGTGTCCTTGAAAATGAGAAGTTGCGTGTGCTCAGCGCCTCTTTTTTACCAGCGTTTTCCAGGGTTTCCAGCGTTTGGAAGGGGTTAGAGGGAAAATTGGGCAATCGGGGAGAAATAGTCGCTGTATTTGAGTCCCGTTTTGCCGTGATTTTGCAGCGTTTTGCAGCTCGTTTGGAGTTGCCTGTTCCCCCTCGTGGTTTCTTTTCCCGTGTGCTTTCTCCGTAGCTTCTTCCAGTGGGTTCTTCGTGTGAAAATGTACAAGTTCTTGCACTGCTTTTGCTGGTTTTCCTATAAATAATTAAAGCAAAACGTGTTGGATGTGCTTGGGGGAGCGGAGGCCGCCGGCGCGGGCGGCTCCGTGTCCTGTTTCATTGCCCCAAATTGTCATTTTATTTGCATAAATCACCCGGCTTTGGTAAACTACCTTAAAAACGGGCGAGTTTGGGGTGGTTGCCGTGAATAAAACGTAATTTAGGGGTCTCCTCTCTGCGGGGAGGGACCTTCGTCCCTTGGTACAAGAGCAGCTGGGGGGGGACACTGTGACCCCCAAGTCCCTATGGACACTGTGTCCCCCCACCCTTTGGGACCCCAAGGTCCTCATAGACCCCCCCCAAATCTCAGGGGC